GTGTGTCTGTCTGTGTGTGTTTGTCTGTGTGTGTTTGTCTGTGTCTGTATGTGTGTGTCTGTGTGTCTCTGTGTGTGTGTCTGTGTGTGTGTCACTGTGTGTGTCTGTGTGTGTGTGTCTGTGTCACAGTGTGTCTGTGTGTGTGTGTCTGTGAGTATGTATCATAGGCGCTGCTCGATAACTGCACTTGCCCCTACAGCCCTGTTAGAGGCTACCTGGGGGAGCTTTGTCTGTGTGCGTGGTGCTGCGCTGACGTGCCCAGTTGCTCAGTCTTGTGGTGCGTGTAGTCTCTCTGTCTGTCTGTGTCTGTGTCTCACTGTGTGTGTCTCTGTGTCTCACTGTGTCTCTCTGTGTCTCTGTGTCTCACTGTGTGTGTGTCTCTGTGTGTGTCTCTGTGTCTCTCTGTCTCACTGTGTGTGTGTGTCTCTGTGTGTCTCACTGTGTGTGTGTCTCTGTGTGTGTCTCTGTGTCTCTGTGTCTCACTGTGTGTGTGTCTCTGTGTGTCTCACTGTGTCTCACTGTGTGTGTCTCTGTGTCTCACTGTGTCTCACTGTGTGTGTCTCTGTGTGTGTGTCTCTCTGTGTCTCTGTGTCTCACTGTGTGTGTCTCTCTGTGTGTCTCACTGTGTGTCTCTGTGTGTCTCACTGTGTGTGTCTCTGTGTGTGTCTCTGTGTGTGTCTCTGTGTTTCACTGTGTGTGTCTCTGTGTCTCACTGTGTGTGTCTCTGTGTGTGTCTCTGTGTGTGTCTCTGTGTCTCTGTGTCTCACTGTGTGTGTCTCTGTGTCTCACTGTGTGTGTCTCTGTGTGTGTCTCTGTGTCTCACTGTGTGTGTCTCTGTGTGTGTCTCTGTGTCTCACTGTGTGTGTCTCTGTGTGTGTCTCTGTGTGTGTCTCTGTGTCTCACTGTGTGTGTCTCTGTGTGTGTCTCTGTGTGTGTCTCTGTGTGTGTCTCTGTGTCTCACTGTGTGTGTCTCTGTGTCTCACTGTGTGTGTCTCTGTGTGTGTCTCTGTGTGTGTCTCTCTCTGTGTCTCTGTGTTTTACTGTGAATCACTGTGTGTGTCTCTGTGTCTCACTGTGTCTCACTGTGTGTGTCTGTGTGTGTCTCTGTGTGTGTCTCTGTGTGTGTCTCTCTCTGTGTGTCTCTGTGTGTCTCACTGTGTCTCTCTCTCACTGTGTGTGTCTCTGTGTCTCTCTGTGTCTCACTGTGTGTGTCTTTGTGTGTGTCTCTCTCTGTGTCTCTCTCTGTGTCTCTCTGTGTCTCTGTGTCTCACTGTGTGTCTCTGTGTGTCTCTGTGTGTGTCTCTGTGTGTCTCTGTGTTTGTCTCTGTGTGTCTCTGTGTGTCTGTGTGTCTCTCTGTGTGTGTCTCTGTGTGTGTGTCTCTGTGTGTGTGTCTCTGTCTGTGTGTCTCTCTCTGTGCTGCTGCTGCTAACGTTGGAGGCTCCTGCAGGTCCACTCACACACTCACTCACCCACTCACTCACTCACCCACTCACTCACTCATCCACTCACTCACCCACTCACTCACTCACCCACTCACTCACCCACTCACCCACTCACTCACTCACCCACTCACTCACTCACCCACTCACTCACTCATCCACTCACTCACTCATCCACTCACTCACTCACTCACCCACTCACTTGCCCACTCACTCACCCACTGTCTCACCCACTCACTCACTCATCCACTCACTCACTCACCCACTCACTCACCCACTCACTCACCCACTCTCTCACCCACTCACTCACTCACCCACTTACTCACTCACTCACCCACTCACTCACTCACCCACTCACTCACTCACCCACTCACTCACTCACCCACTCACTCACTCACCCACTCTCTCACCCACTCACTCACTCATCCACTCACTCACTCACCCACTCACTCACTCACCCACTCACTCACTCATCCACTCACTCACTCACCCACTCACTCACTCACCCACTCACTCACTCACCCACTCACTCACTCACCCACTCTCTCACCCACTCACTCACTCACCCACTCACTCACTCACCCACTCACCCACTCACCCACTCACTCACTCACCCACTCACTCACTCACCCACTCACTCACTCATCCACTCACTCACTCATCC